GCAAGGGTAAGCACAGCCCTGCATCACCCTGACCTGGGGTCCTGACCTGCCATCAGACCCTCTGTGACATGGTCATGCTTCAGCCCTCACTGGGCGATAGTCTGGGAACAGGAGACCTGGATACTTTGGCTTTCCTCTGTGTCCTGAAGTGATGAGGCTCTTCTTGTCCCAGCACCCTGCTGTGAGTGCCTGCTGGGATCTGTGCTCCTTGGGAGGGGTTCAAAGGCAGGAACCCTTCCTGGCCAGCGTTTCCTGCCTCTACATGGTGAGCTGCACCTATGAAGCTGGAGGAGGAGGAATAGCTGCAGATGTTCAGCTTGAGGCTTTTGCACTTTACATTGCTTGTTTTCCTGGGAAGCTTCTCTGGGATTTGGGTTATCTTTGGAGAGTTATCCTTGGTGTGGAATATTATCACTGCTTCATGGCTCGCCTCAGCAGGAGGGACCCAAGAGAATGCAGGCTCAAACACCCCATGTGTGGGTAGAATCCAAGGAAGGCTTGAGAGTCCTGGAGATGTGGTGAGAATAAACCCTGTGCCCTTGAACAGTGTCTGGGAAGATGGTGGGAGTAAAGGGATTTTTGTGAGTGTCAGTGTGAACGGTCAGAGTGATAAGGAAGAGAGAGCTGTCCCAAGCCTCATTTCATCACTTCCCAGAAATACTCCTCACTCAATTTTTCCTCTGACAGAAATATGCCAAAGGCCTGCTTGGTGGGACCCCAGACTCCAGATGGCACCAGCCCGTGAGAGTTACACAAAGAATGAAGTAGTGACTCTGAGCTGCAACAATGGTTCCCAGCCATCTTTCACTCACATCAAATGTGCAGAGAGGGTTCAGCCGTGGAATTATTCTAGATCTCTAAATGCAGATTTGTGGCTGGGGAGAAAAAGCAGTGATGTCTGGATTCACATTGAGGGGAACATAGAGTGCATTGGTAAGCAGGGTGTCAGGAGGTGCTTCTTACAAAGCTCTGTGGTCAAATCCTGCCCCTTTCATCCATCTCTGAGCTTCCACCATCACCACTGTGGCCAGAGATGCACTTCTGATGCTTTGTTGGGGACGGTGGGATCTCAGTACTTTTGATACCTGAGATAATTCCTCCAGTGAATTCTGGCACATCCTTGTCCACCACATGCCTGGATGGGTCCCAGCCCAGGCTGACACTCACCCACAAGGAGAGACTCATCCCAAAAAGCCTTGCCAAGGGGTCCCATCCTAGCAGATGGAGGTGTCACTTTTCCTCTCCTCCTCACATGCTGGTCCCCCCTCTCAACCCCTGCTGCATGCTGTCTTTGCAGACCCAGCTTTGGGGCTCAGGCTTTATGCCTTCTCAGGAGGAGTCAGGGTGTTGTCATCCTCCCTGAGGGACAAACAGGGCACCATGGCTAAATTCTGGTCCATCAGTCTCTGGGCAGGCTTTGTACACAGCATGAACCCCTTGTGGGTGCCCCTGGTCCCTGACTCCAGCTCCTCTTGGCCTTTCCCAGGGGTCTGGGGGAAGAAGTGTGCGATCCTTCTCATTCTCATTCCCTTTCCAAGAATGTGGTGTGGAAGGGCTGCTCTATGCAGTGTCCTGGAGCTCTCTCCTTTGCCCTGCTGGGCCAGGGCAGGGGATGCCCTGCTCCATCCCCTGGCATGCCTGGTGGAGCCACCCTCAGCCCTGCTAACATCTTCCCATCTTGTTGGTGCAGAGAAATGCCAGAAGCCTCAGTGGGACTCCAGGTTTATCTTTGACCAAGAACAGGAGACCTTCAACCCAAATGAAGTGGTGAATGTGAGATGTCCTGAGGGGCACAGGCCTCCACCCATGGAGATCAAGTGTGTGAAACTGAAGCCAAGGAAAGGTTCCACGATTGGTCGCAGTGGCTGGATAGTGAGGAATGGCACAGGCAGCTGGCACCCTATGGAGGAGAGCTTGACCTGTGTGGGTAAGTAAGCGAGCCTGCCACTCTCCCAGTGCTCTCCCCAGGCATGGAGAGCAGGGCTGCATGTGTGCCACAGCATCAGTGCCCCATGCTTGGGATGGTCAGGGTGTGGCATGGGCATTGACTCCAGAGGAAATTATTGGATGCATCCCAGGTTTGTGTCCGCACTGCTGGCAGCTGGGGCACCCTGCACAGTGCTGAAGGGGACAAATCCTCACCACTGGATATAAAGCACCAGACATCGTGCCCAGGCAGGCCAGAGGAGTCTGCCTGGAGAAGGACATGATAGCCCAGGAGCAGAAGGGCAGGGCCCTCCTCTGGCTGCTGAATTTGTTGGCTAAGTCGTTGCTGGTAGGAAATGGACCAGTCACCAGATCAGTGGGTAGCCCCAGGGTGGTGGCAACTGCAGGGTGGGTACCAGTGCTTGTTCTTACCATCCCACAGTCACTGCAGCGCCTAGAGCACCCCTGGGGATGGTCCAGGGCCAGAGGAAGGTGCAGGCAGTGCCTGAATGTAGTCTGGGAGAAGGCAAAATGTCCATGTCCACTCTGTGCTGGGGACAGGCTAGTGAGGGAACAGTGGGGGTGATGGAGTTTGGTGTCAAAGCTTGGAGGGAAAGGGAAGAGAGTGACCCTCTGGGAATATTCCCTTCACAGATGTCCTCCAGGTTGTTCCTGAGACCCTGAAGATTACCAGCACCAGCATCAAACTGAATTGGACCTGCATGCTCCCTGACACCTGCCAGAATATTCGGGCCAGGTGCCGACTGGAGGGGCATTCTTCTCCTCCCTGTGAGGCTAAGGAGGTGAAGGGAGAGGAGATGTTACAAGGTCAAGAGGGAACTTTCACATGCCCACCTTTGCAGCCCTTCACTGTTTATAGTGTCACTATCTCCCTGCTGCCCAGCACAATCTTGTACACACGGTTCCTCAGGACAAAGGAATCAGGTATGTTTACATGAAATGGAAAGATGCCCTTCACCCTGAAACTCATCCAGACATCCTCTCTGTCCTGTCAGCTCTTGGGACTGGAGCTGCTTGGAACCTGTGGGGATGGGGGGAAGGGGCTGTGCAGGGCCCTACAGCAGGGCGCATGTCCTCCTCAGTTTTCCCCTCATCACCACACCATTGCTGCTGCAGCAGCACATGCAGCCTTTGTGGGGGACAAATCCTTGCCAGCCCCATGCATGATCCTGTCCTCCTGTGCTTCCAGTGCCAGACAAACCAGAGAATCTGAGGCTGGATCCCACCTTGGGATCTCTCAGGTGGAAGGCGCTGCCCTCCTGCAAAGGGGAGATCACTGGATACCAGGTACCAGGGGACCACGGAGTGCCCAGAGATTCCCTCAGCTTGCCAGGCATCTCCCCACCTGGAGCTCTGTGCAGGCAGCCTGAGGAGAGGCATGAACCCTCCTTGACCAAGGCCTATAGGCTGTACACTGCTGATGTTTCTGGTGGGGCCAGGTCCCACCAACAGCAGCAGCCCCTCTCCACAGCTCCCGCCCAGTGCAGGAGCGGGATGTTGGTGCTACTCCCTACCAACTCACTGTCCTTCCTCCAGCTGAACATCACCACCATGAGAGCAGACGACGACAGCTTCCTTGAATTCAAGCAGGTGTTGGTGAACCAGTCGGTGACTGAGTACACCCCCCGCCAGACAGCTGGAAGCAAATACGTGGTGACTGTGCAGGGCCTCACAACAGCTGGTGCTGGGGCTGCATCAAGGCTGGAATTTCAAGCCTACGTCTTGGGTAATGGTTCTTCTGTGCTGGGTCTGGTTGGGGTGGCCTCCCTGGGAGTGAGTGCTGAGTCTGGAGCAGCTTCCAGACCCACATGTGCACCCTCCTCATCCCCACCAAGACAGAGGCAGGGAGAGTGCAAGCACCCTCCCTCAGCTCAGCAGTGGGTGTGAGGCTGGGTGAGTCCTGCTTTGCAAGGTCCCCAGAGAAGCTGCATGGCTTCAGCTCCTGTTTGGACCTTTGATAGGAGACCTGCCCCCTGCATTTGGGTGCATGGGCAGCTCAAGGTCAGAGAGCACTAGGGCTGCAGAGCCGGGGTCTGTGAGTCCTCCTCCTGTGTGCAGGATGGTTGAGTAGTCTGCCAGACCCTCCAGCTGGGGACATGGGGCAAGTCCCTGTGCTCCAGAGCCTCCATCTGCCCTGCCCAAGCACACATGGTGACAGGGGAAGACTATGCCTTGCTGCCTGTCCCTGCAGCAGCCAGGGCAGTAGAGCATGGACACACATTTCTACACATGTGCAGACACCCAGTGCCAATGTTGGGGCCTTCGGTGGTGCATGGCCCAGGCTGTGGCACCCACTCCTGTCCCTGCTTTAGTTGCAGGGCAGCCTCTGGGCCCATGGCCTGGGTCAGCGGTCACGGTAGTCGTGGTGGTGCTGGTGCTGGTCCCCTTGTCTGCAGGGATCCTGTGGTTTGTGCTGTCCAGGTGAGTTGGCAGGAGACTTGGAGTCTTGACTCTGCTTCAGGCCATGCTGTGCCATGGGCTGGGAGGGGATGGAGAGGGGGTCCCCAGCTGCTCATACCCTTCTCTGGGTGCAGAGGATGCAGGTGGCTGGTTCTACCATATTTTGCCTCTAGGGCTCCTAGCAGGGGTTCATAAGTGTTTTCCCCAGGACTGGGACAAGGACCATGTGTACTAAGAGACCCTTTCCCCTTGTTGCTGTTGCTGCCACCACTGCTGTCCCCTGGGGTGGGTGGGCAATGCCTGCCAACTCTGGAGAAACCCAGAGGGAGGGTGGGCAGAACCCTCCAAGCCTTTGCTGCTGGGTTCAGCAGAGTTGGGCCCACATCAGCCTCTCCCCTGACTCAGGGCTGCCCTTTGCCTTGCCAGGAAAAAGAAGGTCTTGCCCAGCAAAGTTGAGGAGGATGATTACACAGGTAGGACCCCATCACAGAGATGACTGTAGAGCTGGAGGTGGGAGGGGAGCAGGTCTATTTCAGGAGGGACTTGTTGGCTTTCTGAGGTGGCTGCAGGCAGCCCAGCTGGCTCTGGTTGACCTGCCAGACCAGCATGTCCCACATCTGCTAATCCCAGCTGAGAGCCTGCTCCAGTACCTCTTCCAGCAGCTCCTGGCTGGGGTTCCCCTGTGGTGCTGATGAGGGTTGGGAGCTGCCCCTCGTGCTCACTTTGTCTGGGGTAGGCAGCACCTCTTCCCAGCCCTGCTGCCCTGATGGTGTGTGTCCCAGGGTGCCCTGGAACCCCCAGTGATGCTGCCTGCCTCAGGCTGCCCTGCTCCTTCTCCTCAGCCCCAGAGTCCTCAGGTTGTTTCTGCCATCTTGTCCCCCCAGAGCTCCAGCCCTATGAGAACGTACATGAGGATAATTACTGCGTGATCAAGACTTTTCTGGCACAGAAAGATGCAGGTAGGAGATGGATTGCCCTGCCTGTGTTCCACACATGGCACACAGGGAGTGTAGACTGGCATCTGGGATGGTGTGCATGAGCTCCCCATGCTGCTGAGTTAACAGCAGCCTCTGTCCTGGTGCCCTTGGTCTCCACAGGTAAATGTGGCCACGCTGGAGAGCCAGTGCCCAAGCCCCTGCCTGTCATGGAGTCTTCAGGAGACAGTCAGAGCAGTGAGGGACAGAAGAAGCTGGGGCAGGCATCAGTGATGGTGGCCCTTCCCTTCTTGCAGCTTGCTCCTCCACCACTGCAGGCAGAGCCATGAAGCTTGTCATGGGTTATTGCTCCCTCTCAAATTTTCTCCCTCATCAGGCTCCAGAATCCTCTGTCACAGCACAGGAGCAGCTCAAGGCCTGGGATGACCTGCTTGCACCAAAGAGGATGTGGTCTGGTAGTTCCCCAGTGCTCTGGCAGAGCCACCTCACCAGCATCCTGGTGCCTGCAACTGTCCCCTGAGACTGGATCCCAACCCCTCTTTCGCCACTCTATATCCCTATATCCATCTAGACCCTGTCCTCTGCTTGAGTTTGGCCCAGCTGTGTTGCCCTGGAAGCTGTGCTGCTGTATCTGAACAACCAATAATAAACTGTTTTATTTCACAGGGGCTTTCTGGCCCGCGACAGCTCCCACCTTGTCGTGGTTCGTCCTTGTCTTGTGTGTGAAAATCCTGACCCCATGAATCTTCACAAGGAGCTTGGAGTAGGCTTTTCCAGCCTTCAGCAGCCCTGAGGAAGCACACCTGAAGAGCTGCAGGCTCTCAGTGCAATGCTTTGGGTTGCTGCTTTCCCTCCTCCCATCCTACACGGGGCATGTAGGCACGGTCTCCACTATGCCTAATTGGACCTCTGTGTTGGTCTGTGCCGCCCTCTGGGGGTGTAGGTGCTCATCTCCCATTTTGTGAGGTGCAGTTGACTGCGCTCTTGGGGCATCCACATCCTGCAGCCTTTGGGATCTGCTTGATCTTGGCTGCTGCTGCTGCCCCAGCATCACCTCCAACAGCCGCTCTCTCTCCCACCCCGTGGGATGCTGGTGTCCAGTCCAGCCTGGGTGCTGAGGGACAGCCCAAAGGCTCTCCTTAGAGAGGGGCACACTGCTGGAAAATGGGGCAATCAACCACTCTCTTCTCCAGCTCCATGTGTTGCCTGGAATATTTCCATCTCCTTCTCCTGCACTTGAGCACAAAAGCTCACCTGAGTTCCCCGGACTTGGGTATGACAAGCTGGATGTGTGTTGGGCTTTTCAAAACCTTGAATACAGGGTGTCATGGTTTTTTGCTTCAGTGTTGTCTTTCTACCTGACCAAACCTGCTGATATGCGTTGCAACCTAGAGGCTGAGGGACAGTGTGAAGGTTCTCCTTGAGGAGGAGCACACCACCAGGAGACGACCTCTCTCTTCTCCAGCTTTTTCTTTAGCCTGGGACGACCTGCATGTGCTGGTAAAGACATGTTTTGACAGTCCTTCATGTGAGCTGCCTGCCCATCATCACGGTACCCACAACTGGCCCCTGGGAACAAAGCATCTGCTTCCTATGGACTGTTGCTGGTGTGTGATCTTCGTGCCTGATGGAACTGCTCTTGATGGGTGTTGAGAAGAGGCAGGAAGAGCAGCTCAACCCTTTGTGGCTGCTGCTGGTTGAGAAAGGACAATGATCAGGGTTGGGATCGGGGAAAACAGTTGCCACCTTCTGGATTGCCCTGCTTCCCACTCCATATCCCCATACCCAGTCAGACACTGGGCTGTCAGCCTCATTAACTCCATCTGCTCTGTCTGGACAATCAATAAAAGCTTGTGTTTTGGAGTGGGCTACCTGCTGCCCCCCCCAACTCTTGCCTAGTCCCCTCATTGCCCTTGTGAGGTCCTGCTCCCCCGAGGTGCTGAACTAACAGCACCTTCTTGAGGGGAGCCATGAGCAGGGCTGTTGTGGCCTGCAGCTGTGGTTGACAGCACCACCAGGCCTTCCAGGATGTGTTGGGAAGATCTGACGCGTTTGGATGGGATATGTGTCGGGAACCAGCGAATAGTGGTGCCCCCATTCCACTCATTCTCCATATGAGCATGTTCGGTGCATGTGCCCTAGGCAAAGCTGGGGGACAAGGTCTTTGTGCCTCTGCAGGGCCCCATGTCTGATCACCCAGCCCTGTGGAATCTGAGACATGCCAGGTCGATGGGAGGTTCTAGAGGAAGAGAAAAGAAGTGGCTGCTGAGGAGCAAGGGGGATGGCTTAGTAGTCCTGAGGGTTTCCTCAAACACTCAGCTCTCACTGTAGGGCAGGGTGGTTTGCATTCTTGAGGACAGAGGAGAGTGCTGCCAGGCTGAGGAGCCACAGGAGGAGGAGGTAGCTGTGGATGAAGAAGCAGGGAAGGATGAGAGAGGGTGTCAGCTGAGCATTTCTTTCAGAAGGCCCATAGACTGTTTCAGATGTTGAGGTACTTGCAGTTCATGTCCCCATTCTGATCCCTGCTTCTGGCTAGCTCTTTATGTGGTTTTTCAGAGGTCCCCCATCTCCTGTAATCATAGACGGGAAGTGACTCATCATCACTCTAAAACCCACACAGTGTCGTTGGGAGGCACTTGGATATTGCCTAAGAAACAGTAACTGGGAAGGTTTTGGGGGGAACTCTGCGATCTTGGTAACAAGGTTTCTTCTGTTGAGTCCCAGAGCTTGGATGCTCCTAGGGTGTAAAAAGCAAAAGGCAGAAGTGCTGACAGTGATGGGAGGTTCCCTGCCCAAAGAGGAAGCCTCCTGCATCTCATGAGGAGCTGTGTCTGTTTCCTTCCTGCGGTTGCAAGCCTTGCAGTCAGCTACGGATGCCTGAGCTCAGAGGCAGCAAGTGGGGCTGAGATTTCGGTCCTGCCTGGGGACTTCACGCCAGGATGGCCCTGCAGTTGCTGGCTATAAGGTTTCTTCTGGCCCTTGTATCTCTGTTGTCAGCACAGGTCCAGGGAGAACTTGATCCCAAGGTCCAAGGAGTGTCCCAGGGAACAGGTAAGAAGCAGTTCCTTCTCTTCCCTGGGGAGATTTTGTTGCCTTTCCTCCTGCAAGTTGGACATGCATCTTCACTGCCTGCAGCACTGGGCTGGAGTCCAGATGGACTGTGTCAGCTGGGGTGCCTGCTGTCTCTGGGAGACCTCAGGGCAGGAGCTACAATACAGGGTGGGTCCACTGGGGATCTGTTTGGGCTGGATGGTAGGGGATGGATCATGCCCTGTGGCAAAACAGTTTGCCAGTCATTCCCTGGAGGCTGTGGACATGAATCAGGCATGAATTCACATATCATGAACCCAGGAAAGGGTCTTCAGGGAGCAGGGGCATCATTTTCTGTACACATCATCTCCCCCACTGTGCCTGGAGGACACTGTGTCTGCTGAGAACAGAGCAAGAGGGAACCTGCTGCCGCTTT